AGGACGCGGCGTCGCCGTGCGGCGAGCGCGGCGCAGCCTCCGCCAGTATGGTAATACGCCTTCTTTCAACCAGCGTGTCTACACGCCGCTGCTGCTCGCCCCACCACCTCAGGCTCCTAGCGCCCCCACACACGCTCGGGATGCGTTTGGTTTTAGCCGCACATACTTTTTCTAATTGATGCGGATTACTCCTGTTACGAAAATATGTGTCACCACCTCCTCGTAAATAAGCATAATGATTCAATTCTTCTTTTTGACAAGTTTTTGGCAATTTTTATCACTGACTTCTTGTTCAGCCATTAGATTGCCACTTTTTACATAATATGCTACGCGTCGCTAAAGTTTCTTCCCATCTTTATGCTACAGTATAATACATCACATATTGTCGTATGTCAATGTTTTACTGTAGGGAATGGGAAGACCTTTTCGGGAAACGTTGCAAATTGTGTAATAAGTGACAATCTGATTGTTCAATTATAAATAAAATGATAAAAATGTGTAGTAAATATATAGTGTTCAAAATGTTAAGTTGTCTAAAAAATGTTGAAGCATAATGTATCAGCAGGGGCGCTGGTTGCGTGGCTTAAGTTTCCTAGATCGGGAGATCTTGGGTCCTTGGTTCGTCCCAGGAGCGAACGTTGTCCGATTAGCGATTTTAGGTAAAATTCGCATCCAACATTTTGTGGGGGACATTGTGCTCGGGGTAAGTTTTAGGTTATTATCTTTCACGATACCGACCTGGATGGCCGAGGTGGTTAGGAGCGTGTACCAACTCACCAACTCAGCGTTTCGATCCGGAAGGTTGCGGGTACAAGTCCCGCCTAGGGCTTTATGGTTTGTCCCTTATCCCTCACGTGTGTGTTGCCGCGTTCTGCTGATCTCAGATTCGAGAAGCCCGCGAGGCTGTTGATATCTAGCAAATGGTCGAATTTACGTCCCAACGGGACGTAGAAGGTCATCCGGCGGACAGCTGGATAAAAGCCCTATGAAAATAACCTGTCACGTTCTTTAATTTTATTACAACTCTGATTTCCCTGCACTGTTTTCATTACAATTGCTGCTTCTACCTCCGTTATCGTGCCCCTCAGAACCACTACATTTGCGTCCCAACAACTTTCCTCATAACCGTCCCCCCTGCCAGCGGCGTCGGCCGCCCCCCCCCTCGCCCCGCCCGGCGCGCGCCGCCCTAAATTCAAGCCGCCTAATCAGAGCGACGCCGCTTTGTTGTCTACGCGAAACAGCGGCGCGTTATGCTTAATTAACGCGCCGCCCTCCCCCCCTCTTCGCCCCCTCCTCCGCCCTCGCCTGCCTCTCGCGGCCGCCGCCGCCTGCGCGCTGACGCGGACCAGGCGGTGAGCGGGGCGGAGGGGGGGGCGAAGGCGCAGGTTGTGTGGACGTCTGAGCAGTCGCAGATCCAGGGGGAGCATGGGGGGCCTTGGCCACCCCCGAAAAGAAAGGAAATTATTCAAGGAAGTCTCTGTCTGTGTCAGATAGCCGAGCAGCGGCGATCAGCTGTGAATCTGCCGAAACACTAAATGTGCGTCGCGTTGAGACAACAGGAATATTATAATTTGTAATTTAAAATTAAAAAATCAAATTTCTTGAAAAAGAAACTTTGGGTGAAGTGAATATTGTTTAAATATCTACCGAGATCCGACATTACACTACATGTATACTGAATTGTTGCAAAAATAAATGGCACTTTTATTCCACTAATAGACGATTATCTTGTATTATTATAATCGTAGGCTCTTTTCTGACGTGTCGGATTAAAACCTCAATGTTCAAGGGTAAATATAATAAAACGTTTTTCTGAAGCTTTAAGTACCACTTCATTGCCTTTTTTAACGTATAATCCTTGAAATGCTTTCTTAAAAATTTGCTTTTTAAACGGACCACAAGGAAAAATATTTGCGAATCGCACAGGTGTACACAGTATTTATGGCTCACAATTAATATTGCTATTAACAATATTGCGCCCTTACAATTGCATTACTATTTCGTAAGTTTGTATTTTTCTATTTTAGTTGCATAACTACCGATCTACGATGTAGTTTCGAATTACGGATTACAAAGAAATAGTGTTTTCGGATATGAATTGTATACTACATGATAGAGCAGATGGTGAAGTCGATGTAGGCCTACAGCAGATGTTATGGCTCCAGCCAAGGTGTGTTGGAACAGAGTGCATAATGGAGATATAAAAACAAAACATATACAGGACTATGAGAGTGTTGAGCAACTATCACACGAATAACACCGTTCACGTTTGCCTACCTGCAAATGAAACTGTAGTAGTGAAGGTAATTAACAATTGTTCAAAAATGTGTACAAGTGAACTGGTGGTAGCCGCCATAACGAGCAATGAGGATTATTTGTGCAACGATGACAAGTGATATCCACAGAGACAGATGTCATTATGATGACGAAAATGAAGTTAATACAATTGCTGGGCGGGGACATGCACTGGGATACGTGAGGGACGTGGGAGGCTGAATCGAAAGAGAGTGCACTCACATTGTGCCAGAGACGTCAGGGAAGGCGCGGCGCATACGGGCGTGGGAGGAAGGTGAAAGCAATCGTGCAGACGTTAATTGAAGCTGAGATGCAGATGGTGGTGACGGCTCAGGTCATGCCATTGGGGGGAATGAATGAAGGGGGACGGTGGTGTAGTAGAGTGGAGACAGTGGTGTTGTAGAGTGGAGACGGTGGAGTAGTAGAGTGGAGACGGTGGTGTAGTAGAGTGGGGACGGTGGTGTAGTAGAGTGGAGACGGTGGTGTAGTAGAGTGGAGACGGTGGTGTAGTAGAGTGGAGACGTTGGCGTAGTAGAGTAAAGATGATAAAAAAGATAGAATAAATAGTGTCTGTGTATTTAGCATTTCTGGGAGGATCACCTAATTTGGCCGTTAGCCCTGCAAGTATGATACTTGTTATAGTTAGGAGGTATCAATGTTCCTCCCTACTGGAACTTGATATCCAACGACAATCATACTTGGCTTGCTACATTCCCATGTTCAGGTATCTTTCCGAAGCGGGGCACCACCTTAGCTGGGATAATCTACAAGTTCCCTACTGCCCTCCCAAAATAAGTGTTAGTGGAGTGCTTGTAGGTGCAGATGTGTGTGTGTGTGTGTGTGTGTGTGTGTGTAAGGAAGATGATGGGACAATAATGTGGCAGGGAACTGTGCGCGGTCCATGGTTCTTTTGTTGGATTACTGCTCTGGCATTTGCTTGGTATTTATCCAAGAATTTTCAGAAAATTACAGATCGGAGTAGTGGGCTGCTATAATTCTCCTCTAGGTAGATTTGGCTGAATCCAACCACCAAGTTATATAGCTCAGAGTCAAAACCCCTGCACAGTCAGGACCTAAGCCGTAGAACTGCCCGGTCAGAGGTGCTTCAGCGGCATCTGTTGTAGCTCTGATCCATCTCAGCCGGTAAGAGATTTGGTGATGCGAATGAGGAGAACTACGACAGCAGACGAAAACGTCTTGAGAAGGATCTCAGCAGCAGGTTAATGGCGAGGTCCATAACAGCTGACGATGAAGAGAGTTTGAACATGTGTGATTGGCGTTGCTGACGTAGCATCCGCTCGAGATGATGGGGGACACGAGAAGACACGGTCAGCAAGGATTGACCCCCCCCCCTTAAGAGTGGCTACAGGGAGCGGTCGTCATAATTGGGCCGACAGGCTGTGGTCTAGAGAAAGGCAAGGAATTGAGGACAGGATAGATATGACGGAGATGGAAACAAGTCTCAAACAAGTGATTGAAAGAGGCGCGGATGCAGAGGAAGCCAGAAAGTGGTTGCGGAAGAATTGTTGTGGAAGGATATTTCGATGCTCGAGGACAGCAATGGAGAAAGACGCGATTTTGGAAGCAGGAAAGTGGGAGCGGCAAGGGGGGGCGGGGAATCCTGTGTGGAGGCAATGGCGAGAGTGTCGTAGCTGGGACTGCTGAGGACAGGGCGGCGTGGGTCCCGGGGCTGGTCGCAGTGTTACAGGTGCCTCAGGTGGTACGGGTGTTGAGGCAGCACAGATTGATTGGTTAATTTCGAGGGCGCCATCTGCAATGGTCATTTGTCCCGTAACTATACCGCATGTTTTGTATCGCTCGGCATCCCCCGCTGGATAGAGAGATCCAGTGCCGACTTCCGAACAGCGGGGCAGCGCCCCAGCCGGGACACGCTGTAAGCTCCCAACTGGTCTTCCGGTAACAGTAGTAGTGAAACCTCCAAGTATGTAAGTGTAAGTGTGTGGAAGAAAGGGGTGCGGTTACGACAAGGAAGAGGAAGGAAAGATCGCGCGCGGTCCGTGGCCTGTTTGTTTGGGTACTACTCCGGTTTGGTGTAAATCGGAGAAACCATAGGAAACTACCGATCAGAGCAGCCGACCGCTAAAATTCTCTCCGAGACAGCGGGGCAGCGTGGAGAGGAGACTGGCAGCACAGACGGCACACGCGGAGTGGCGGCGGGGGCGGCGTGGCTCAAGGGGACTAATGAACCGTCGCGGCGTCAAACCCTCCCTCCCTCCCGCCCACGCTCCACGCCCGCCAGCCCATCCGCCCACGCTCCCCCGCCCGCCCTCCGCGCCCGCCCCGCTGCCCGCCCGCCCCCCCGCCCGCGCCGCCCTCCCCTCCCCTCCTCCCTCCCCCCTCATTCCCGCCCGCACACGCCCATTCCCGGGCGATAGTGCTGGGGCGGGGTTGTGGCGGGCGGCGCGAGGGCGCGGGGGGGCGGCCGCGGGAGACAGGCGGTGGCGCGCAAGCGGGCAACGAAACGGATCCCATGTGGGCGCGCCGCTCGGCCCACCCGCTCGCGCCGCCGCCGTGGCGGCCGCGTCCACCCGCCCGCAGCGCCCCCGCCCCACGCCACAGCGGCACCCGCTCTGGGGCTCTCCGCCCCACTGCGACCAGCGACACCGCGCGACACATACGCTTCGGGGTTTTGGTGCACTCGTTCAGGAACTCTCACAGATGGAGATTCTATCCCACGAATCATTATGAACGGTAATATGTGGATGAAGCGTGTTTATTTACATGAAGAAGTATTTGTTTCAGTCTAACAAATGGATTAATTTTTGTAAAGAAAAAGTACAACTCGATATTGCTGAGGGAAATTGTCTTCCTTTGTCTACATCTTATTTTTTACGATTGCTTTGGTGGGAGAACCACAAAAGAGTTTTATAATTCAGAAACATATACGATAATATTTGAGCTAGTAGAGGGCAATATACAAATAAAATTGCACAAGTAAATTGACAAGTACTCGTAAATTGAGTTGAATATCAAATGGTCAGTTCAATCCCATATAGAAATCTAAATTTTCCACATGTCAGACTCTGTACCCTTACCACGGAGTCCTATCTAAGGGCACCTAAATTTCCCGAACCCTAAAAAAGGCATAGATGGTTCCAAATAATCTCGTTTTGCAGATAACGGAATGAGAGACATAACTCATGGCTCTCGCCTCGGAAAAGGGATCAATGTGTTGTGAAAGAGGCTTACGTGCGAGAGAGGTATACCAGATTGTATTTTCGAATGCCTGATTTAGACGTGTTTTTCAGTAAATGGTTAATATTTGTTGAAATAAGTATAATTTGACACCTCTCCATGTAATTCTTTCTTTTGACCCCATAGTATGAACCCACTCTGATTAAGATTTTTTAAATACCTCCTGGGGAGATTCAATGTCCTCGTAGCTATACGTAATAAATATAATTTCAATGTACGTTGTCCATTTTTCAGAGAAATATTACAACGAAATAAAGAGAATGGTACATGTCCTTGGTTACACTTCGGATCGAAACTGTGGACAAATGAGGTGATGAGAGGGCAGTAAAAATGTTACAGTAAAGTTTCATTTTCAATGTATTTAATAACAACTCTTTAATTTTTTGCCGTAAATAATAAAAATTAACAGAAGATTTATTTGTAAATGGTAAAATGTTTGGAGAAATAATGCATTTGCCCGGAAGCTCATATTTTAGTTGAATTTTGCTCGGAATGTTTTCACCATTGGTTGAATTATTGCAGTTCTCGGTATTTTCTGCGCAAATGAACTCTCCGAAATGAAAGAAGACCTGAACCGTGTCTCTCTTGATTCTAACCGCATACGCATAAAAACGAAACGTGCACCGATTGCATTGTGTTTAGGGCAATGTACTTATGTTCAAGTCAACAGTAAAGCCGAGATGAAACACATGTATTATTTCTTGCGCACTTGCTTGATTGAGCCTGTACAGACATGCTCGACTGGATTAGTAACGCAAAGAATGTTAATGAGTTACCACGTTCTCAGAAACGTGTGACCAGTACAGTCTGAAAATGCGTGAAGAAACAATAAAAGTCGTTCTGCTGGTCTTGCTTAGTCTCCGCTTGGGTGAAATTCCGAGATACGGGACCAGAAGAACAACCATTTAAGTACAAACGCTCATTCTTTCGATACAGGAATTTTAACATTAAGTTGATCCGTGGAAAATCAGTCGACTAGGAAATAGCCTGCAGTCATAATGTGAACTGAAAAAGGTCAAACTGTATAATTTAAAAAAGAGAATAATATATTTCTAAATGTCAAAAGAACTGAAAATATAATAGCTACAGAAGTCTTGAAGAAAAATATGTTAAAAATTATTAAAATAGCAACTGGAACTGTAACAGCTAAAGGCTGATGATTTGTAGAAATGCTACGTGCTAAATAATTCTCATTCAACTGCGTTATTGTCATCTCAACATTCAAACCAAAGGGGAAATCTAGCCTTCCAATTTCGTCGGTCAATCACTTTGTCATAACACAAATATATTTTATACGAGTATATTGATGTTTGTGGCCAGTAGAACATTTTTTAAAATAAAAATATATATTTTATAAAAGTACCTGTTCAACAGGTCAAACTTTGTTAAGCAAAATTTTTTATCAGAAATAATAATATATTTATAATAAGTAATACATTGTTTTTTATTGTTATTATTTGGATTCTTATGAGTTTTCAACAACCAGTTCTGACGAACATGCTCGACCAGTGGCCTCCACAACACCACCCCATCATATTTCTCCAACACTTGTCAATGTGGATTTTGCTTACAATTGCTGCTACAAACATACTATTTTTTCGGAGCCTATATAGCAGAAAATATACACCCGATCGTTCGTATTTCGTGATACCATGTCTTTCGTGGCCCCCGTTAACATTAGTGGTGGTAAAACAGCACATACTTTCTCGCCCGTATTTTCATGCAAAATTGTGCGTAAAGAACTAAAATGTTCGAATCATTGTACTTGACCTTAGTTCAAAACCTATCTTTAAGGAACAGAATTCATTAAGAAAAAGAGCTCTATCTTTAATATTTTAGTTGTAGGAAGATGCCGAAAAGAGTTGAATTTGCGTAGTTTTTGAAAAATCAGGGTTTTTAACGACATTAGACCTGCGCCATTTTCTTAAACGTCCTCCACACTACCCAACAATAAAATTTAATCTAAAAAGATGAAGCCATTTTTTGAAAATTTCATAAATATCACGAAGGCTTTATGTACAGCACCTCCAAAAATTAAATTTTCGATTTAAATTCAACGGCCGATTCAATTTTCGATTTAAATTCAACATCAACCAAAGCAATTGGGGAACATCAATTTTGAAGAAAATCGAGTGAACTGTTTAGCCTTTAACGTTGGTCGCAGGTGAACGTTTTGCCGTCAATCGATTTTTCGGTATCAAGGACCCACAAAACATGTATTCTGGCTACACCACATCTTAGAGAACTTTACGTCTAAATTTAGCAAGTGGATTTATGCACTTTTTCGCTATAAATGCCCTGACATACGAGTTTTGCCGAAAATTCGCCATTATTTCGCGCAGCAGTACATAACTTTCTAGGTACTGTGTAAGCGGTACTAGAGAGAACGTGAAAACTGCCCGTCCGCTGCGAGCGGGTGCCTGCGAAACCCGAGCCACCCCCTCGCCCCCCCTCCCCCCCACCACGGTCGCGATCTTCCGCTTCTCCGCTCGCCACCTGATTCAGCGCAAAGCGTCCCGCATCGGCCGCCGCGGCACGCCCCCTGCCCTCCCCTCCCCTCCCCTTCCCCTCCCACCCACCCCGCCGGGGCTAAGGATCCCCGGTGCGTGGGCGCGTGCGCACGCGTGCGTGGGGCGTGCGTTCGCACGTGCGTGCCCGCGCCGCTCGCCAATCACAGTGGGCTGGGAAGGGCCAAAACGCGCACACTGGGAAGAGTAGCTTGTCCGCAGTTAACAGGTTCCTGTGCGGTGCATGCCGGCAATCAGTTGAAAAACCAAAAAAGCGAAGTAATCAGTTTGCTGTAGCAAGGTGCATGCTCATTACACAATTAACTGTAATATGGCCTCAGTTCAAACTAGTATTTCCCTTTTTCATACAAGCACGTACATCTATTCTGACGTTGTAAGTTATTCATGCTTTTTTTTTCTTAGTGCGCTTACGAGGAAAGACGGATGCAACACGTCAAAAATTATTTAGTTAAAACGAGCTATGTTTGAACAGGCTTTGGTTGTTTGTATAACAATGAATTCCATAATAATACAAAATGAAGTCTCAGTGGAATCTGAAATGTATTTAACAAGCTATCCCAAATTACCTATAATTAATTAATAACTATATTTTATGATCCAAAAAATATATAAATAATTTAACGCTATTTTCACTGTTAATGGTTAAGATGTATTATTTATCCAAAACTGTTGTTGATGTTTTGTTGTTTTTTTTAAAATAAAAAAAATTAAATATAAATTCTTGTAGTTATTTGAAATTTCTAGAGTTGTTTATCAATAAATAATTGTTTAAAAATGCGTTTCGGAACAGCATGATTTTCATAACAATACAAAATGAAGCCTCAGTAAAATGTGAAATGTATTTTACTAGCTATACCAAATTACCTATAATTAATGAATGGCAATGTTTCATGATTTAAAAATGTTATAAACAATCTAACACTATTTTCAGTGTTAATGATTAAGAAGTAGTATTTATCCAAAACCGTTAATGTCAAGATGTTTTTAATTTCTTTTAAAAAATAAAAATTTGTAAATGTGTATTATTGTAGTGATTTGAAATTTTTAGAGTCGTTTCTGAATAAACAATTGTTTAAAAGTGCGTTTGAGCGCAGGCGGTGCAATTGGGGCCGCTTCAGAGCGGAGTGCGCCGCGCGGCGCGAGGGCTCTCCAATCGCCGGATGCGGCGCCCGCATGACGCCGCGAGGCCCACGGCTCACTTGGCCGCTTCCGCTCGCGCTGCTTCCCTCGAATCTCTGCCGACGCCCCTTCTCTGCGCGCCTGCCTCTGCTTTCGGGCACTAAACTCAACAACATTTTAGTATTTCGGTTTCTTCCACCACGAGTTGCAACTACAGCCTTGGGATACACCCTGCTTATAGTTGTTTTTCGAAACTCCGCCGCCTATCAGAGATTTCTTGAATCACTGTGATGAGTCTTACGAGGTGGTTAGCCGATTCCTCGCCCATGTGAATGGAAATAACGATGGGATAGGAAAGAAAGGATGAATGGTGATCTGTGGCTCGTATTTTAAGGGGCTGCTTTGGTATTCGACTGAAAGTTATCAGAAAAAAAAATCAGGAACCATTCCCTAGTGCATGTGGCCACCAAATGCGATCCTGCCTGTCGAAGCTGCAGTACTGTTGTAATTGACAAACATTAGGCATAAAGTCACATTACACAGGGACATGATAAATTAAATTTTCATAAATTCCATTGAACTATTTATAAATTATTATTATATCGTAATGAAAGTTTCGTTTTATCAATAATTTCAAACCATCACAGAGTATGTTTGCAGGATAATGGAAAAAATAGTTCTGTTATTGATGGGTAGAAACTGACAAAATATAGGAAAAGGTCCAACTTCCAATTCTGATATTCGTTGTTCTTGACGCCATATTTGTTACGAGCTCTGTTTCTAAGCTTTGACGTTTAAACTGGAGCTATATATTTACGACAGCTCAAGGCCTTTTATATTACTGGTTTT